CGCACGCACGCACAATCATAGATATCATCCCGGCGAACTGAATATGGACACACTTGTATTATGTCAGAAATTATCCATGTGTCGTGAATCAAAGACTTGCAGCCATAAAGGAACTGTATTTTATGCACATGGTATGTTGGTTTGGCAGACTCCATAATTCCTTATCCCACTCCTGTAAGGAGACATCCATGACAGCTAACTGCTACGTCAATGTCCACAACTACACACAACGAAACATGGTGTCTAGAGTTGATTTCAGAATATATCATTAGTTTGTTAAATATATAACATATATATCTGAAGAATCTTGTAATTCTCCATACTCCCAGCAGATCTCTCCGTTCCAGCAACGCCCTACTTCTCTCCCAGCCAACCACCAAGACCGCTGTGGCGGACAGAACCTTCTTCGCTGCAGCCCCACTGCTCTGGAACAGTCTCTATCAGACTCTTTAAAAAAGCCCTAAAAACCATCTGTTCACAATATCCCTCTCATAGACTTTTCAGACTTTCTTCTTCAGCGCCGTTGAGCAAATACATTTTGGAAGCAAGCGCTATATAAATTCATTATCATTATAACATATGTTTCATTTCGAACGAATATTGTGGTCTTAAGTGTCTTTTAAGAGCAGTCAAGAACGTATTCCAATATGTTAGCAAGGAGAGTGACAGTCAGGCATTCACTTGTATTAATATGAAAAAAAAGGAGACTACGAGTCCAGAACTAACCGAGTGGGTACCTCACATGTTGTCCAGGTTCACTCTGACGTAGGAAACATTGTTCACTACAGCAAATATGTGACCTTACCCTCCTGTCGTTATGCATAAAAACAGATAAGACTACTTAAAATGATAACTCAAGTTTTTGTTCGATTTCCACACTTGGGGGACACATTTGCCATGGCTGTCTTATCATCCTACACACGTACAACACGATGATCACGGTAATGTGTATTGATCAGTGGTCATTTAACCTTAGTCGTTCCCATGGAGGACTGATCTTGGTTCTCAAAATGTGGAACCATTCACGTCAATTTGTGATGATTCCTTTGTCCCCCTACTTCTGCCTTTGTCTCTCTCGTTCTTTCATTGTCTCTCTGCTTCTTTCCGTGTATATCTACTTCTTTCGGTGTCTCTCAGCTAATGTCTTCGTCCATCTAACTTCTGCACTAGTCATTTCGAAGTTGCAGTATCAAGTAAGGATGCGGTCTAAGGATGTCCAGCTTCTTCACAATTACAATTAGGAGCGACGTTTGTTAAAACACCATTATCAAGGAAGAGACGATCTATTCTTATTCTGCCTATGTATTTTCGTCTCTGCATATTTTTGCCTGTTCTGCTTTTTGAGGGCACAGGTAACCCAGTGGGATTAGGTGTATTCTGTTGTACGAACATGCGTTTCTTGTTAAAAAATGTTCATTGGCTCTAATCAGAGATAGCTAACTGAAGTTTAACTCTTTGTATGCCAACACAAACCTGTTCAATGCATTCATAAAACGATGACATCCCTCGGTGAGTGATTGAGTTTAGTTTTACGCCGCACTCAGCAATATTCCAGCTATATGGCAGTCGTCTGTAAATAATCGAGTCTGTACCAGACAATCCAGTGATGAGCATGAGCATCGATGATCGATCTATTCAATTGGGCCACGATGACATATGTCGACCAAGTCAGCGAACCTGACCACCTGATCGCCTCTTACGACAAACATGGGTTACTGAAGACCAGTTCTATCCCGGATCTTCACGGGAGACAAACATGGGTTACTGAAGACCAATTCTATCCCGGATCTTCACGGGTAAGGTTTATAACGAACACGCTCATAATACACTGACAGATACAACTAACTGTTGATGGCGTCCCAGTCACATACTCAATATTCTAATCGAAATGCGTATAATGAACTACGGTTGCGGTTAAGTTCAACTTCTGGTCCCTTTAAATTTATAATATACTCTCCCCAAAAAGAAACGCATCATGAAAATAGCAATTTCATGTAGCAATGAATTTAAACGTGATTCATTTTACAAAAGGTTTTGCTCTGTTTATGAGCCCTATGGTGTTTTTGTTTTGAAACATCACAACAAAACGAACCATCCGTAAAATACCCGTATTTAACAGCATGATTTGTCACAGAATACACAATTCACATGCAATGCACGTGAAAGTTGGGGATCAGATAGTCTCAATGATGGGTATAAAAGGTTGATCGTTGTCTTTCGATTATTAACTGTATTTGGAATATTGTTGACGAACGCAAAATGCCACGTCTAAGTGAAGCCAACCGTCATATCGCCATTGGTTTGCTTGAAGCTGGCCAATCTCAAAGTGCAGTTGCCCGACGCATGAATGTTCACCAAAGCACCATTTCACGGCTCTGGGAGAGATATCGCCGGCAGAATTCGGTAGCAGATGCCCCTCGACTTCGAGCGACCACTGTGGCGCAGGATCGCTACATCCGGGTACATCACCTGCGTCATCGAACAGCTACGGCGACCAGTACCGCTCGACAAATACCCGGATTGAGGAGGCTTTCTGCACAGACCGTCAGGAACAGGTTGAGAGAGGCTGGTTGACGTGCCAGAAGACCTTATTTTGGCCCTGTGATTCGACAACAAACTCGTCGATATCGAGTTCAATGGTGCACCAACGTTCAGGCCTGGAGCGTACCGAATTGGCGTACAATCTGGTTCAGTGATGAATCACGATTTCTATTGGAGCGACGCGATGGAAGAATGCGGGTGTACAGACGTCGACGTGAACGTTTCGCCAATGCTTGCGTTCCCCTGGTGGACAGATTCGGCCGGGACAGTGTTATGATGTGGGGAGCGATTACCTGCCGTAAGAGAAGTGATTTGGTGATGATCCAGGGCAACCTGACAGCTCAACGGTACTGTGACGAAATCCTACGCCCACACCTCCTTCCAATCATTGATCGCCAGAGGGAGTTGTTTCAACAGGACAATGCCAGGCCAAACACAGCACGTCACACTAGAGACTTCCTTCGGAACCACAACATCAATGTGCTCCCCTGGCCCCAAGATCACCGGACTTAAACCCGATCGAACATCTGTGGGATGCCCTGGACAGACGGGTGCGACGCCGTAACCCTCAGACACTTCAGCAACTCTCACAGGCACTACAGGCAGAGTGGGCTGCGATTGGGCAACACGAGATTCTGAGACTTATTCGTTCGATGCCGAGGCGATGCCGTGCAGTTCTGGATGCCCACGGTGGTCACACGAGGTATTGACTTCAGCGCCACCACACGTCTCCATGTGACACTCAACCTGACTTTCCTCGAGTTGGTGCCAAAGACGGATAAGTCTGCATTCCCAGTGTGCAATTTCGCTATATTCCGTTGACTCATAAAGCCTACAAGAAGTTTCAAAATAAACATAAAAATACAGTTGAAATTCCTATATGCGTTTCTTTTTTCGGAGAGTATATATACAATTGCATAGTACACACACACACAAACACACACACACACACACACATATATATATATATATATATATATACACATATATACACACACACATATATATATATACACACACACACATATGCACACACACATACATTTGTATATACACGATGGAGTAAAACAAGGAAACTGTGTTTCTGCAGATGCCTTTATTGAACTTTTTAATGTGCACGTGGCGTCCCAGCCACGTACTGTACATTTTAGTCGAAATGCGTATAATGAACTACGGTTATATCGAAGTTCAATCTTTGGTTCCTTTAAATTTACTATATATGCAATTGCATAGTACACACACACACACACACACACACACACACACACACACACACACACACACACACACACAGAGAGCACACACACACACACACACATGCACATTTGTATATACACGGTGGAGTAAAACAAGGAAACTGTGTTTCTGCAGATGCTTTAATTGAACTTTTTTAATGTGCACGTGGTGATACAGCCTCTGGAGCAGCACCAAGTCCTTGATAGGAACAGGATGTGAATAATTAAGGCTGTCGTTTCGTCTCTTTTTTTTAACATATTTCGTAACGTAATAAAGATGCATAAAGTATTATTCTAATACACATATAGCATCGTAAATATTTCAAAAGAACCTGTTATAATGATCATTGAAGGTCGCAAGATGTCTCTGCATGGTTTCATCAAATTTAGAGGAATTCTGGGAGAACAACATTTATCTTCAATGCCCAGTTTGGCAAAGAACAGCAACTACATTTATCTGTCAATGATACACGTGCTGGTTCTGTTATTCACCTATTCAGGTAGAATACGTCAAGGCCTGGTAGTTCCATTTAAGCCAGGGTGGACGTTATTTCAAAATTCCACATTTCCCAAGCAAAAATAAACTTTGAGATTTCTAGGTATGGCTGCTTACTTCCGTACATTTTGTCAGACATATAAGAATGTTGTAGCTACTAATTTCCTTTACAAAGTGGAGGTGGAATTTGTTTGGGACTGCAACTATAAGACTCCTGTTCATACAATCCAGTGATCAACAGACATGACAATCGATCTACGCAATTGGGATACAATGACATGTGTCAACCAAATCAGCGAGCCTGACCATCTGATCCCATTAGCCGCCTCTTACGACAAGCATGGGTTACTGAAGATCAATTCTTGCCCGGATCTTCACGGGTCCCACCCTTGGTCCATATAAAGATGGCATTCACTAATCAGAGCCTTGTTAGTGTAACGTTACGGTACACTAAGGTTGTGTATCAGCTACAGACTCGGATACTTGTAAACGTGAAGGCAACTATACATATATGTTTAACATTAACCATATTCAAAATAGCTAAAAATGTAAAATTTTATTTCTCGTATTTTACCCAGTATAGGGCATAATGGTTACAAACTCAAAATGACTATGCTAGAAACTGCTAATCTGCAAGAATATCATGTACCAAACGACAGAACCAGAATACTAATATACCTGAACATGTGAGGGGACTTGGTCACCGTTTACCTTAAATAGGACCACAGATGCCGCTCTGTATTCAGAAGCTGGTACACATCGGGAACATCATCATGGAATTTGGCTACGGACCTGACGACGGTAAAAACTTTAATTCCTTCAATACTTTGCACAATGTAACAATTCGTTATAATCTTTAAATGGTACCCTTTCATCATTACTTATAATTTGATTTGTTGAATAAGAATGCTAAAATACTTTAAGGATGACAACTTCCTTATTAAAGTTTGACTTGTTTGACAACGACATAAGAATCTATGTGGAAACATCGCTTACACAGAATAAAGAAGTTGTATATCCATACAAATTGTCCTCAGTCTTCATCTGCTCAATTTCTAGAATGCCAATCAAAGAAAACCGCTTTATTATATTATGATGCGACGTTTCGGTATCGGTTCTTATACCGTTGTCAATAAAGGGTGAAATACCACACGATGATGATGATTTGGAGATTTAACGTGCGCTTTCCGACATGCTGAGTACCTCGCACACGGGTGATACTACAGTACAGAACAGACGTATAAACATCAACAGGGATTACAATTGATATTGGTAATAATGCAGTGACAATAGGAGGATGCCAACTGTTCATAATAGGGAACAAATTATACATGGCTGATAGGATTAAATGGCAATGATAGTTGGAGTCTTCTGCTCTGTTGCTTTTTATCAGTTCATTGTGTGCAGATGGGTCGAGATATCCTTGATCTCTGTTGATTGAGAGTTTGTGTCGGTGGATTGTAACTGCTTCTGCCAGTTTCTTTTGGTGAAGTCCTGGATATTTTTGGATAGTATTTCTCCATTGCCCCAAGAGGTTGCCATCCATAAAATATACCAGCTTTCTTATTATTCATTAACTTCTAAAATGTCAATCAAACATGATTATGTTTTGCTGAATTTGAACACATACAGGAAAAGTGAATACATGTAGCAACGTAGAACATAAAAAAACAAAGCCATAATTCTATTGAGTTCAGTTCTTGCAAACATTATCGTATTCTGGTTATGGTTAAACTGATACTGTTTGAAATACAGTGAGTGAGTTAAGTTTTTCGCAGCTGTTGGCAACATTCCAGCAATATCACGGCGGTGGACACCAAAAATAGTCTTCGCACATTGTACCCATGAGGGGGATCGAGCCACTAACCTACCTCACCGGCCCATATATGATAGACAGGTTCTGTGAAGTTCAGACTATATTGATCACCTTAGTCTGGTTAACGCTGACACAATGTGACAAACAGCTTCTTTCATAGTGTTATTTACTGCTGCTATGTGACGAACAGCTTCTTTCATAGTGTTATTTACTGCTGCTATGTGACAAACAGCTTCTTTCATCGTGTTATTTGCTGCTGCTATGTGACAAACAGCTTCTTTCATAGTGTTATTTACTGCTGCTATGTGACGAACAGCTTCTTTCATCGTGTTATTTACTGCTGCTATGTGACAAACAGCTTCTTTCATAGTGTTATTTACTGCTACTATGTGACGAACAGCTTCTTTCATCGTGTTATTTACTGCTGCTATGTGACGAACAGCTTCTTTTATAGTGTTATTTACTGCTGCTATGTGACAAACAGCTTCTTTCATAGTGTTATTTACTGCTGCTATGTGACGAACAGCTTCTTTCATCGTGTTATTTACTGCTGCTATGTGACAAACAGCTTCTTTCATCGTGTTATTTACTGCTGCTATGTGACAAACAGCTTCTTTCATCGTGTTATTTACTGCTGCTATGTGACAAACAGCTTCTTTCTTCGTGTTATTTACTGCTGCTATGTGACAAACAGCTTCTTTCATCGTGTTATTTACTGCTGCTATGTGACAAACAGCTTCTTTCATCGTGTTATTTACTGCTGCAGGACCTACTCACTGGATCCTGGCATGTCCCAATGCAGGGGGACGCCACCAGTCTCCAATCGATATCGAAACTGAAATGGTTAAATTTGATCATCACCTCCACCGACATCACCTTAAGATTGACTTCGAAAAGGAGCACAACCCGGAAGTAATGAACAATGGACACTCCTTTGAAGTGGAAATAAGGGAGCATTCGAGTAAGTGTCTGATTCATATAAAACCAGTTTAGGAGGTGTGGTATTGTCAGAACCTCCAATATTTATTACGGTCATGGATTGATAACAACTGAAGAAGCTACATGTATGTTTAGCCTCAAATCTGCTGAAGTTGTTCGCTAAATAATTTTCATATACATCATGTAAACCTAGAAAGTGTCTAATCTAAATTCCCTTTCTATCAATACAGCTTTAACTGGCGGAATCCTCGGCCATGAGGAATACCATTTAAGGCAGTTCCATTTTCACTGGGGACTCACCGACCATACTGGCTCAGAACATACGGTCAATGGGAAACACTATGCTGCAGAGGTGATTCAACAGTTAGTTTACCACAGGGAGGAATATATTTTTGAACAAAGAGAAATACTTCTGAAACTGTGACTTTTCAGTCTAATGATAGAGCAATTTGTTAGTCTTAAGTTTAATATACTTACGTGACACATCATGTGTCTACGGCGGAAGAACATACTTCAAGCACGTGTACCGGTACCAGCTTACTCATTAAAGGGAAGATTTGTGTTACGCTCTTAAACATTCATTTGTTTGAATTAACTTTGCAATGTCACACTCTTATCGGAACCACGCAAAATATATTAGAGGAGGCTAATTATTCACATGAAGATTTCACATCTCAAACTCTACCGGTACTTAACTATATAAATTATACGTGAGTGGCGTGTCCAACAGGAAGGGGGAGATAATTATCCTTTTTTACCTTTCACACCTCTTGGAAGCTGTTCTGACAGACATTTCAGTCTGTTTGATTGGACATTTCAGTCTGTTTGATTGGACATTTCAGCTTCATTTCGTGACCTATGACCCTAAGAAGTACGGAACATTTAAGGAGGCTCTGGGCAAGGAGGACGGCCTGGCTGTGCTTGCAGTGTTCATCAAGGTCAACACAATGTCATTACTTTGTAATCCTAAGCGTTAGATTCACCAACAAAGCAACGTGTGCCATATGAGTTGTATCAAATGTGGTTTTATTCGTCCCACGAGCCGAAGAACCTAGCCGAAGTGCCATAGAACCTGTCTTTTAAAGTATTAACACAAAGTTACCCCGAGTGATACTGCTACTACGAATACATCTTGCCGACATGTCTCAGTTTTTTTTGCGAACTGTATTTCGAAATGTATTAGAAAAGTATTTCCTTGTCAGTATTTTATCACGTGAACCAGTCGAATCTGTGACATAAAAGTATGATATCCGTGTTTCTTATCCATCAAACAAGCCATGATATCACCAATATATTTTAAGAAGCAGCTGAAGGTTGGAATCTAAGCTTGACTCTCTGCCAACACGTGTCCTTGTTTGGATGTTTTCAGTGCCAACAATACTTTTTATCAGGCATTTTTTGGAAGCTGAAGCATCAGGATTGACAACATTGATGAATGGATTTCAACGCATTTTAGTTTCCACTGAATGTAGTTGGTGCAGGTACAGCCGTCTTCATTGCGTCCAGTCTGACTCTGTAAGCATGATCAGCTGACAACTAAATATATAAAACCTGTATGTATTTTGATTCTTAGCCTGTTAATTCCCTTTCATTTAGGATTGAACATTTCAGGTTGGAAAACACGAAAATAAAGAATTCGAAAAGCTCTGTGATCTGATGCACTCTGTCGAGAAAGCTCACACCAGCTGTCACATGAAGGGTGTTTTTCATCCCTCTAAACTGCTGCCATGTAAGTTCAGTGAAATAATGAGGCATGGTGATTAAGTGAGTGAAAAGGTAAACGGTATCTGAAAGCCATTAACTGCAAGCCTTTAACCAGATGCTTGTCGACCAGAAACTGAAGTTACTATGTGTGCAAAATGTCCAGATGGGTGATTGTGGCCCATGAAACAATGTTGGTAAAACGTTCATGTGGTCATTACTCTCTTGCAACTGATACAACAACAAAATTTATCTACCCTGGATCTCTCACCATGCCCCTCTCCATGAGTATTATGTGCATTCTGTTATATATGTACATTTGGTGTCTACTGTTTTGCAGCTGATACGACAAAGTATTATACCTACCCTGGATCTCTGACCACGCCCCCCTTTGTCGGAATGTGTCAGGTGGATAATAATGGAAGAACCCATCCATGTGTCTGAACACCAGGTTTGTTCTTATGTCTTCTAATGTAAATAGAAGCGACAAAACCCTTTCCACATCCATAAGAAATATCTGCTAAAATCAGAGTCGATTGTACAGTTGTGACTATACAATGAGTATGTATTTGTTTCAGCAGTAAAGCAGCTGTACCATGTTGTTTGTGAACAATAGTCTGGACCAGACAATCCAGTGATTGTCACCATGCGATACGGTGACAGAGCATGTGTTTATGAATCCCTATAAGATAGTGATGAACATATCCAAAGTTTCGTCCGTTGTTCGCCTGAGACAGTTAAAGTATCCAGGTATCATGTAGTGTCTTGACCCCTGATGTTCGCCTTTTAAAACTCAGCTTGGTTCCATAATCGGAATTACAGACTTTTATAGCTCCATATGTACAGTCTTTGAACTTCAAGAATGTACTGTTTCATTACTATGGTTTGTAACGGGCCTGTCATACGCACATCAATCCTGCACCTCATTCCTTACCTTATTATGCACCTCAAAATTCCATTCTGACCGTAAATCAGAAACTGACAAACATTTAGTTACTCAACTTCAAATTAACAAAATTACATTAATAGAAACGGATATTGTAAGTTGTTAAGTAAGTCGTCTGTACGAATATTAAATCAAAGGTGTTGGTAAGTAGCTATTCTTCATTGAGCCATGCATGGGACAACATTGGTATGTCACAACTTCTATATATTTGATATTTTTAACAATAACATGTTTGGTTGCAGCTGACTTCTATATATTTGGTGGTTTCAAAAAACAATCTTGGTTACAGTTGAAGTGCCTTAGACACTTGAAAGATGCCCATGGCGGACCTCTTGAAGACAACTTCCGTCCCACCATGCCACTTGGAGACAGAGTTGTCAAAGCGTCCTTCAAGTGATGAGGCGGATGGACCGAGGTGGATATTGGATCGGATATGTCTTTTATCTACATGGAAATCACTCTTTACTCTGTTCACTTAAAGTTAACACTATAATATTGTCAACCCTCTACGATGGCTAGAATGAATACCTGAACCAGCACGTGTATCACTGAGAAATAAATGTAGTTGCTGTTCTTTGTCAAACTTGGCACTGAAGATAAATGTTGTTCTCCCAGAATTCCTCTAAATTTGATGAAACCATGCAGAGAGATCTTACGACCTTCAATGATCACAGTAACAGGTTCTTTTGAAATATTTACGATACTATATGTGTATTAGAATAATACTTTATGCATCTATATTACGTTACGAATTTTGTTCAAAACAGAGAAGGAACGACAGCCTTAATTATTCACATCCTGTTCCTGTCAAGGACTTGGTGCTGCTCCAGAGGCTGTATCACCACGTGCACATTTAGAAAGTTCAATAAAAGCATCTGCAGAAACACAGTTTCCTTGTTTTACTCCACAGTGTATACAAGTGTGTGTGTGTGTGTGTGTGTGTGTGTGTGTGTGTGTGTGTGTGTGTGTGTGTGTGTGTGTGTGTGTGTGTGTGTGTGTGTGTGTGTGTGTGTGTGTGTGTGTGTGTGTGTGTGTACTATGCAATTGTACATATAGTAAATTTAAAGGAACCAAAAATTGAACTTCGATATAACCGTAGTTTGTTATACGCATTTCGACCAAAATATACAGTACGTGGCTGAGATGCCAACAACAGTTCAGTATGTTATAAGCGTTTTGGTTATAAACGTTGCCCGTGAAGATCCGAGTTAGAATGAACCTTCAGTAACCCATGCTTGTCTCCCCATGAAGATCCTGGTTAGAATGAACCTTCAGTAACCCATGCTTGTCTCCCCGTGAAGATCCGGGTTAGAATTGGTCTTCAGTAACCCATGCTTGTCGTAAGAGGCGACTAACGGGATCAGGTGGTCAGGCTCTCTGACTTGGTTGACACATGTCATTGTATCCCAATTGCGTAGATCGATTCTCATGTCTATTGATCATTGGATTGTATGAACAGGAGCCATATAGTTGCAGTCCCAAACAAATTCCACCACCACTTTGTAAAGGAAATTAGTAGTTACAACATTCTTATATGTCTGACAAAATGTACGGAAGTAAGAAATCTCAAAGTTAATTTTTGAAATAACATCCACCCTGGCTTGAAGTACCAGGCCTTGACGTATTCTCACTGAATAGGTCACTGATCTAGCTCAATACTATTCAGGATTATATCCACTTGAGTTAACCTAGCTGATGCCCTAAGTGTTGGAAAATAGAACCGATCTTCATGTTCCTGGGCAAACCCAACATTGGGATGAACTGACCAATACCGTGATACTAACATAAGCAACACCTTTCTGTCGGAGAATGGTCTCAGGACTCCTAATGGCTTCACACGTGATAGCATGCATGTACTAATTACCTGAATGAAATGTACTTTATATTATCATAAGTGACAAAATACAGAAACAAGTCCTGGATTACTATTTGAAGATTTTTCATACTATCCCAAGTGGTAGGCTTATGACAAACATTAGGATCAGCCACACCTGTCACCTTTAGCTGCCACAAAACCTCTGCTAACAAAACCAAATACTCCTGTCTCGCTCCTCACTAGCCGAACGACAAAAACGTTATGGCTTTACAGTTAAAAAAGAATTTGGGGAAGAATAGCAGGTTTTTTATTATGCGTGAGCTTTTTATACAAGTAGGCTCTGGCGAAAATCTAGATATATCGTTAGAACTGACTGGGGCAGAACCTTTTGTTATCCAACTCTAAACCAGACTTAGAAATGTCTGAAAGAGAACATCGTGGGGTGAAATATCCTTTCCTGTTGTATCACCCTGCACATTCCTGCATCCCCAGGATTCCTACGTGTTAACAAATAGCCAAAATAGCAGCTTAAAATACAGGATCAACTTTCTGCTCACCAACATATATACTGAGTCAAAAAAGAAACTTCACAAAATGTAATTTGAAAAATAATGAATAATGTTTCTCTGATGATACATCTATGTATCCGAAATGGGATCCCTATCTTTCGACTCTAGAAAAACGTTAGCAAAACCCACTCAAACCCATCCATTCGTCGTGCAAATGACGTTAGTGCCAAATCAGGTTTTGCACGTGCAGTCGATCACGTGATCTTCACATCGAAGTTTTCTTCATATGCACGTGTTTGCATTGGCCTCAAGAATTGAAAAAACACTTTTAAACCACAGTTCTAACGGTACTTGAAATGCCACGATTGTCAAATGTGCAACGTGAACGTGCCGTTGGCATGTTGCAAGCGGGAAGATCAGTTATTGACGTCGCAAGAGCAATGGGATGCAGCCGTCGTACTGTGTATGACTTGCGAGGTCGTCTACAACAAACTGGCACCACTTCTGATCGCCCAAGGTCGGGTCGTCCACGTGTGACGTCACGAGCAGAAGACCGTCAAATCGTCCTACGTCACCTACGTGACAGATATCTGCCGGCTACACGAACCAGGGCTGAGATGTTTAGAGGTCGACTGTCCTCACAGACCATTCGAAATCGGTTGCGGGCTGCCAATCTCTATTCCCGACGTCCATATCGTGGGCCAATATTGACGCCGTTTCATCAACGTCAACGTCTGCTTTGGGCCCAACGTCACCTCCGATGGACCCAGAGAGACTGGAATCGAGTCGTCTTTAGCGATGAATCCAGGTTTACCCTCAGATTCGCGGACGGCAGGCATAGAGTCTGGAGACGACGTCGTGAACGGTATGCCCAATGTTGTGTACAGGAAGTCGACAGATTCGGGGGCGGAAGTTGCATGGTGTGGGGTGCTTTCTGTGGGAACAACCGTTCCCGACTTCTGGTCATCCGTGGAAACCTCACAGCTGCTGCTTACCGCGACCAGGTGCTCACCCCCTGAACTCGTTCCTTTCATGGCGGCTCATGGCCCAGGTCTACAGTTCCAGCATGATAATGCTCGGTCGCATACCGCGATGTTGACACGAAATTTCCTTCAAAACGCTGGAATCAACGTTATGGACTGGCCATCGAGGTCCCCTGACCTTAATCCAATAGAGCACGTTTGGGATGCACTTGGGAGAAGGCTTTGTGCTCTTAGGAACCAACCTCAGATTTTGCAGGAACTTGGCGCTGCCTTGCAAGAGCAATGGCGCAGAATCCCCAACCACGTGTTCACAAGCATCAGGCAGTCGATGAGGAGACGGTGTTTGGCAGTGGTGAATGTGCGGGGCGGCCATACACGATACTGAACTGTGAAATTTCGCATTTTTATTCTTGTGACTTGACATTCTGTATACCCATGTTTTGGAACGGCGGTGTAGCCTAATGGAACTGATTATGGCACTGTCAGTGCATCGAGTACATCACACATATCTCAGCAATGAAATAATAACAATTTAACCATCTTACCATCTCTTGTTCTTTTAAAGTGCCCTGAAGAAAGAATGTGAAGTTTCTTTTTTGACTCAGTATATGTCCTAATGTCCACTCACACACAATGCTTAAAGTTCCCAAGCCCAAACACATGTCAAAATCACAAGCAACCCCTCTAAGAAGTGTACCACCTATCAAACAAACCTTCCTTCACAATACCAAGGATTGATGACTTCATCACATTGGGTCAAGCCAAGAACGTCAGCAAGTTTGACTTAATGAAGGGGTATTGGCAGATTACACTGACAGAGCGGGTTACAGCTCTTGTTACTCAAGATGGATTTTATCAATACAAAAGTGTGCTATTTGAGCTCCAGAACACCCGAGACATCTCCTAGCATCTCATCAACATTAGCGGCAATCTAGTGGGAGTCCATATCAATTATGCCATCACCCATTTCATTGAATGGTAGAGGCTCCAGAAGAGGATCCGTGCCATCTTCAGCCATGCCGACTGTGAATTTAGAAAAGTGTGAATTTGTACAGTTACGTAAAAAAGAACAACGCCTTATGGCCGTTAACCATTCCTACACGTGTCGAAGTTAACACAGAAATCTTTACCTGAAGGCATGAAATGACAGACAACTTCGTAACAAAATAACTATGTTTACAGATATACAGAAAATGTACCAAAACTAGCAGCATAAAGTAGAACAGGCCATGGTTCCAATAGGTCTCGACAGGATACCAGGGTAAAATGTCGACCATAACTCGTCTGTAACATTAGATGATAGACGCATGTGTTTGCATTACTTAAAATGTTCCAGACATTTCTTTACTAAGCTGGATGAATTTGTGCTGTTCTGGAAGGTTCCAGCTTACACCTGACAATCTAAAACTAGATTCTACTGAATCTTAGCAGAAACAATGTAAAACACTTACACGACAGTTTTACAATAAATTATACTGCCATGCAGCAATATTTAAATACAAATTCACGTAGATCAGCCTGCTCTCTGATCAATAGAAGAAACCGCGAAACGAAGGGTACTAATGAGGCCATTGACAATCGACGTATACAAACATAGATGTGCTCACCTACTGTAGTGTGTGTTGTATTAGGCTTTAAAAGAATATACGATGTGACAGTTTCTAATGGTCAAGCGTCCGTTTCGTATCACTTCAACATTTAAGAATTTACAGTCTTACCGTCTAGTAACTTATGTGCTAGTACTTGTTGAATCTTATGTTGCAATCCAGTCACATTAGTTGTAGTGGTGGTCCAACTAAAAAATAAAAAATAAATAATCGAAGATTGGTCGCAATGACTAAACGACCAAGCAATCAATCATGTTTTCTCATAATCGAACTCAAACAATTTTTGGAACACTTGATTGCATTAACATGATTTTGCACAAGGTTGGTTTTGTCTGTTACATTTCACACATACTAGCTCATTCCTTGTCATGATTGAAGTTATCAAAGACACCAGGAAATTTATTTTCCTAACATACTAGTCATCCTTTTACGATGTGAAATTTGTAATGCATTTTGTGCAATTTGCAAAATACCTAAAAGAA